GCCCTTCTAGAGTTTAAGCCAGTCAAATTTGTGCATTTTGTTTCACAACCTGTTTAATGGGTGAATGCTTCAATGACTGACTCATTCTACTCTGCAGTTCATAACCAGAAGYTGCTTTTTAAATCTGATCTCATMTGGATAATTATTCTATGACAGATGYCTTTGATTGTCCCTCACAAATCCAGACTGAATTTAGATTGAAAAGACAGAAAGAACTGACTTTGATGAATGGACAGCAGCACCACTGACCAAAAGAGACAGGTAGGAAATTATTATTATCATTATTGTACAAGTAAAATTTGAAGTAACTGCTTTATTGCGCCTAATTCAAGAGAAACAAGGGTGTTGTCTCTCTAATAATATGAACAAATGTCCTTCAAAAAAGCTTTGAAATTAAGATTGTGACATTTTAGTGTCAACAAAAAGGAACCAAATATTCACTAAAAATATGTATTTACAATTTCACATTTTGTATTAATAAAAATATATATTTTAAATTGTCTCATGATCAAGATATGCAATAACTTTCTGAAAGTGAGAAATATAACAATGGATATTGATGGAGCTCTGCAAGTTTTTTTTTTTTTTTGCCACCATCTTGAAAAGACCTAGATGTAGTTCTACAGCCACACATGCTGTCCTCAGCAGTGGTGAGCACAGTTCCGTCAAACAGCTAATAGCGAAACTAATTTTCATTAACTTTGAAACCATGAAGGGACCAATTAGCTTCTGTTAAATTTGATTTTTCTGACGTCAGATTCGCTAACAAACTAGCATCAACAGGGTTGTCAGTCCCAGTCGTAGATGTTTGTGTGAACTTCGTGTTTAGCCTTAGTGAAGATCTATTTTTATTAAAGCCAACACTTTGACAAGTTGTACCCTCAATTGGTCTTCAGAGTTTTTAATGAACCTGCACAAGTCCGGTTAAGAATCACTGGGATAAAACCTGACCTGAAAAACTTTCACTATCTTCATAATAAAGCTTTACAGACTTTAAATGCCTGAACTGTCAGGATCTTTGTTTTTGTTTTCAGTTTTCAGTTCAGTTTATTCCTGGGTTTTTTGTRCTCCCAGTTCCATCAAATAGTTCTGATCCTTATATCAGACATGTTCTGTGTTTTCATTAGTATCAGCTGCTGCCACTCACATCATCATCAGTACCAGCCTACCTATTCTTCCAGTCCTCACCCCATCCTCAGGTCCAGATATTTGACATAATTACRGCCTTTCCCAATCAGTGGCTACTCCCTGGCCCTACTCACTACACACTAAACTCACGGTGAAGCACCTTCGCAGCTGAACTGAGTCCCCTTGATGGCGGCCTCTCCTCATACTACCAGAACAGGAAGCTGTCGTCACCATTTTAGCAGTCCAAGCTTTGGCAGTGACTGTTGGCACGATACACCTGATGCTGGAGAATGAATGACGTAAGATCGTCTAGAAGACCCTTTTTCAATAGACCCTAGAAAATATTTAATTAGACCCACATTTTAGAGAGTTTTCAGATATGACTGTATTTGCAAACATGGTGCCATAATTTGTCAATACAACTGCACTTTTAATATTTTTTAATCATTTATTTACTTTTTCTTTCCTTTTTTTCTTTTTTACTTTCTTCTTTTTTAAAATATGGACCAGGGTTCTGTATCTTTAATAAAGTTTGAAATGAATTGAACATGATTTATATAGCCTTTGTGAAATTATATTCGTTGGTGAGGTGTTTACTTAGTAAATATGTGTGCAAAATGTATACAGAACTTACATTTATACATCATGTCCTCCATGATGTAAGGTCCTCACTCGCTGTGGAGGGCCTTATAAGCCACTCGCACTCATACATAATTGGTTTCAGATTGGACTTAATATGGCCAACCCTCCTCAGGAACACGCGAGTGGAGTGAGGCATATAGGGGAAGGGAGTAGCCACTGATTGGGAAAGACCCTTACATTCACAAAAACAGACATTTTGGCTTCAGCTTTTCATGAAAGGAACACTTCAGCTTTTTAATGTCTATAGATCACATTCATTAACTGTTACAGAATTTTAAATAGGCTTTGTACATTTGTTCATGAATTTGTTTAGATGCAGCCTTAAATGACACTTTCGAACCTCATTTGAGGTCAAAATGTTTGTACCGTTGTGTGGAATCTTTGAACACAGCGCTAAAACAAACACACCATGCATCAAGTAGTCAACAGCCTAAAACACATCTTATAATTGATTTAAAATGTAGCCTGACTAGTTAACGATGACACAGGTGCAATTAAAAGTAGGAACATACAGTGAGTGTCAGGACTAGTAAAGTCAAACTGGTCTGTCAGGTTTCGGTGTCGATTTGAATGAAACAAAGTCATGAGTCCATTTCCAGWATGACCTAAAAAGGTTGAAACAAACTCAGAGAAATTGTAGATCCTTTCATTCATGAGACAATGGCTTTATCTGTCTGTTGAATCAAAAATTCCCAAACCTTTCAGCTTCTGACCCACAAAATAATAATGGGGCAAGCTTGTGACTCAGAGTAATAAAGTTTAAATTTTATGACATTGTTAATAACCTTGATAACTAACATAATGACAAATTAAATTCAATTCAATTTAGTTTATTTTTAAAGCACCAGGTCACAACATACAATATGTCAACTCAGGCCACTGTACACGAGAAAAACAATCTRAAGAAGSCAGCAGATTGTGTTGAATCTCTTCATCACATTCTCCCATCCTGACCTTCAGACAGTGGAAAGGAAAAACTCACTTTTTACAGGAAGAAACCTCCAGAAGAACCAGAACCAGGCTCAGGACAGGCACCATCTGCCTCGAC